CTCATCATTTACTTTTTCTCTTGACCCAAGATTGGTGATTTCACAGTAAGCTGAAGAATGATGTCAAAACTTGTATATTTGGATTTAGGATTATCTCAAATCTGATTTTAACCTACCCTTCCTTTTTATTGCTCTTTTTTATATCAGGTCAATTTTGTTTATTTCAGTAAATGTCTGTTACTTAGTATAGTCATATTATGTTTGTTGCTAGGGATAAAAAGATGAGATAAACATTCTTTTCCTCAGGAAATGCACTGCCTAGGGGAAATAAAAATGTTCATGTAACTAGTTATAATACATGTGAAAGTGTATGGAACTGAGTACTGGCTTGGTCTTGTAAAACTTTGAAAAATGTATTTAGAAAAGGGATTTAAAAAAAAAAAAAGCATAGTCAGGCATTGTAGTGCATGCATGTAATCCCACTGACTTTAGGAAGCTCAGGCAAGAGGATTACAAATTCAAGACCAGCCTCAGCATTTTAGGGAGACTTTGTCTCAAAATAAAAAGGACTGAGGATGTAGCTCAGTGGTAAAGCACCCCCTGGATTCAATCTCCAATACAAAAAATTTAAAAAATAAAAAGCATTAAATTACAATGAACCAAAAAAATGGGAAAAGAACAACATAAAAACAGCCTAAGAAATGTTAACAAAATTTTGGAAGCTAGAAAGCTGGTAGGTAAGTGGTAACTGACTTAGCATCCCACAGAAAACTGTGTACTATTAAATATACCAAATAGGCTCAGGAATTGGAGACACTAGGAACTTCAGAAAAATTGAGTACAGAAGGGGCTAAAAACAGAAAGCATAGTTGAAAATTAAATGCACTGTGAAAAAGTGACTGCCCTGCTGAACAGAGGAAATAAGAAAACAGTGACACATGGAATGGCAGTTACCCCAGAGACTTTATACGGAACAAACAGATCCATAAGTGCCTGTATTTTTTTTTTAACTCTGGTATTATTTTTTCTTCAAAAGAGATCTGTGTATAATTTTATAATGTTTGTTTTGATGTATAAAAGGCTTTCCCCAAGTGTACAAGTAAAAATAAGGATTTAAGAATAATGTGTCTTATTTGTCCTATAGTTTATTACACAAATGCCCTGGAATACCTCCATGTACTCGTTTGTGCATACCTCAGAGTAAGAAGCTTATACTCGCCGGGCATAGTGGCACACACCTGTCATCCTAGCAACTTGGGAGACTGAGGCAAGAGGATTGAAAGTTCAAGACCAGGGCAACTGGAGAGTCCCTGTCTCAAAATAAAAAATTTTTAGAAAGGGCTAAGGCCAGGCCTGGTGGCAGACCTCTGTAGTTCCAGCAGGAGGATCAAAAGTTTGAGGCCATTCTCAGCAACTCAGCAAGGCCCTTAGCAACTGAGCATGATCCTGTCTCAAAATAAAAAATAAAAAGGTCCTGGAATGTGGTTCAGTGGTTAAATACCCCTGGTGGGTTCAATCCCCGGTACAAATAAACAAACAGATAAATAAATGGGCCTGGGATGTAGCACAGTGTAGGGTGTCCTTGGGTTCAGGACACAGTAAGGTGGAAAGAAAGCAGCAGCGGCCTTCCGTGTTATTCACAGCTGGTCCCTGATGGTCTTTTCTGTTCACCATTTCTTCCCACAAGTGTGTACTCTGATTATATGGATCCTCTCACTGTATATGAAGTTCTGCATGTTCTATTGTGTCTCCTTGTCATGGTTCAAATTGGGTTTTTTTTTTGTTTGTTTTTTTAATAGAAAATGCCTTTTATTCTCTCTTGTTTGTTCATCCTTCAGGGATCACTTGAAGTGCTGCCTACACCTACATGTGTTATCCTTCCTTATCCAAGTTCTTCTGTTGACTTTTTCATATTTCTGTTTTGATACTTATTATTTGATTTATTTGACAAATTTTTGAGCCACCGTTGTATAAGACTCTGTGTGAATAACTATAGTCTATCTCTGAAGGGTGAGAACTGAGTGTTGCTCATCTTAGATACCTGGTGTCAGCATATCTTGGGTATTAGATCAGTCATATTCTTGCCCTTCCTCTTGTCATTTATTTTTCTAGTTAATTTTTAAATACTACCTCATAAGTAGTTATGAACAATCATAGATCTGAGTATGTCACCACCCTACCCCCCTAAAACCTTTCATTTTAAACTTTAAAATAGCATTGAGGACTCTCCCAAGTGTGACCTCAGCCTTATTTTTCCATTCTCCTCTGCTCTGACCACCGTTTTGCCCCTTTCCCCCTTACTCATCCTTATGATGCAACTTTTGGTCCATCACCCCAGACCATCCACCACGCTCAGCAGATACCATCTCCATTCTCATTTTTGTATGTGCACTTTTCTCTCCTTGAGATACCATTTCTCATTCTTCAACTGTTAAAATCCTACTCATTCTTGAAGTAGTTGTGGGGGAGGGTGGAGAAAGGAAAGAATTTCCTTCCTGAGACTTCTTTGGCTCTCCAAACCTCTATAATTAGTAATTGCCTCTTCTTCCTGCTCACAGATTAGAATCCAGGTTTATTCCTCCCATCAGTTCACCTTAAATGTTGTGTGTGTTGAATTGAAAATCAATTTAAAGCATATGTACTTCAAATATTAAGAATTTTTAACACTTACAGGGATGCTGTACTCTGAATGAGTAAGGGGTCAATTTTGTGCCCATACAACTCTATTCTCCAGTAATTCTTATTGATGAAACTAGGCTAGGGAGGGGAGAATGTCAGCAATTCATAAAGATGGCTGAACATGTTTATAATTTAAACTTGTAAAACCCGACCTTTTTCCTTTTAGCAATGTTAAGTTATTATGATTCAGCTCTGTGGTAAAATTGATTTTAATTCACAGTAATAGTGGTTATACAGAGTCAGGAAGAACTTTCCTGAAAAATCTTTGTGCAGTGTCATATGTGGTATGGAAGAAATCCTGGGCTAAATTGAACTTTTAATCTGCCTAACATTTGACTTTTACTGCCTTTTATCTTCCTATCTTAGTTATTACTGTGATTTTCACAATTTCATAAAATATATTTTAAAAATTGTGTTTGATGGGAACATGAATCAGAAATACAAAGTAACTCTTAGAAGCTTCCTGTAATTAGTGTACAGAGAGGGAAAATGCCTGTTTTCTACTTGTGCCTCCTTTAAAAATGAAGTTGTTCATCTTACATTGGTTTTTAGGTGTTTAGAAATTTGTGGGTCCCCTTTGTTATGTTATTTGCAGGCAGAATTATTCCTAAGTTTGTGTATTCTTCAGCACATAGAGGTACACAGCAACCTGATATCAGCATTAAAAGTATAATGATATATTATAAAGGGGTTTCTGTTGTCCAGAGATTGGTAAATGCGAATGAGTATTACAAGCAACTTTTTGTTCCCAAAATGAAGTGTTATGGTTTTCTTTATCATAAAAATGCTGCAGAACAAATCAGTTTAATACCTTAATGTACCTCTTTCTATATCCTTTTCTGTGCATATCTATTCTACTGTGCTTATCAAAAGTAACAATTATTGTGTATATTATTTAAAACATAGTCATACTATGCATACAAATTACTTAATCGAGGTTTTGATTGTGATGTACAGAACGTGGTCTTAAGCACTATAGAATATTGAGACAATTATTACATAAAATCCCTACCCTCAAGATGTTTATACTGTAGCTGGATAAGGTAGGGTAAAAATATAAGAAGTAGGTCAAGCACAGTGGTGCATACCTGTAATCCCAGCAACTTGTGAGGCTGAGAAAGGAGGATCACAAATTTTAGGCCAGCCTCAGCAACTAAGTGAGGACCTGTCTCAAAAAATAAAATAGGCTGGGTGTAGTTTACTGATAAAGTGACCCTGGGTTCAATCCCCAGGACCAGTTAAAAAATACATATATATATATTTCATAAATGATATATGAATACACACATAATAATGTGTGTGTATATATATACACATATATGCATATATATGTGAAGCAATAGGAAATCAATGCAATGGCTTAACTTTATGGTATGTACTAAGTACTCGGGAAGAATGAAAGTTAAGGCTTCAAGGATAAAAAGGCAGTTGGGGGTTGTGAGAAGTATTCAGCTTGTAATATGGGCTAAGCCACAGTTGTTTCTTTTATCCCATCATTACTTCAAGTTCTTAGTATAGATGTCTAGGAGAATATTGATTGTTCTTTTGAAAGTAGTGAAGTTGAAAGGAAAAATTGTTATTTCAGGAAGAACTTCAAGATATTTAAGTGTTGTTAGGTGAAGATATGTTTCATGTATATAGTTAAAGATATAAAGCTAGAGTTCTGGTGAACAGTCAGAACAGCTTTGAAAACCATCTTCTTACAGAAAATAGATGAGTTCCAAAAGGAGGAGGGGTTGGGAAAATTGATTTTATTTTACACTATTCTTTATTGTATGTAAAGTTGCCACTAAATGCCAGGAGAAAAAATAAATAAAAAATTCCTTTTTGCTAGTCAGTTTAAAGAATGAGGGTTTGGGGGCTCTGGCTGTGGCCCAGCAGTAGAGCGCTTGCCTAGCATGTATGAGGCCCTGGGTTCGATTCTCAGCACCACATAAAGATCCAAATAAAGGTCCAACAATGACTAATAAAAATATTTTTTAAAAAAGAATGAGGGTTTGATTTATTGTGCCAAGTGTTTAAAATTTTTATCTTTGAAATTCTGGCATTTCTTCTTGATTTGCCTCATGGGAATAGTTGGGAAATGAGAGAGATGGATGAGGAGGGAGAGGGAGAGAAAAGAGTGGGAGATTAGTTGGTTTTCTTTTTTTCTTAAAAATAACTCTTGTGTGCAGTTTAAAATTTCAGATTCTTAAGCTGATCTTGTTCTATTCTTGCTGGATCTCATTATCTCTGTTTAGTTTTTCAGTTATAAATCATATTTCATGTATGTGAACAGCATTGAGAATGTGACTTTTCTCATGACCCTGTGAGCTAAGAATTTTGCTTTGCATTTCCCAGAAGAAATGTCACTAAACATATACATTCTGCTTTTCCCTTAGGTAAAAATCTCTACACCAATGAATATGTAGCAATCAAACTGGTGAGTAGAATGTTTGTAGTCATTGTACTATCACTGTTAATATCTTTTTACAGGAAATAGTTGTAAGCATTCATTAAAATACTAGACCTGGGTTTTTTTGCTTCCATATGATCCCACATAGTCATCTTTCTTCAATTATAGTGTTACAGTGATGAATCACTGTATACTATATAACACTATATGTTAGATGCTGCTAACTGTGGTGCTAGCAATGATGAATCAAAATTAGTTGAAAAAAATTGCTGGAAGAACTAGGCATGATGACACATTCTTGTCATCCTAGCTCCTCAGAAGGCTGAGGCCCGAGAATTACAAGTTTGAGAGCATCCTCAGCTACTTAGGTAGACCCCTTGTCAAACTTAGAAATAGCTGGAGATGTAGCTTAGTAATAGTGTGCTCCTGGGTTTAATACCCAGTACGGAAAGAAGAAAAAAAAAAAGCTGAAGAGCTAGTAATTCTGTGGATTCTGTACTTTTCACAGTGGTGTCTTAAAATGATAAAGTCATTTGAAATTTTGCTTTTTTTTCTTGAGCAGGACTGATTCATTTTTTTAGTGTGAGGTGTTCATTAATATACTTAGTATAAGAAAACCAAATCCAACCATCTAATAATGTCTTTTTAAAAAGCTGTCAAGCATAAACAATATACCTTGTGGCCAAATTGGAAACAGGGTTGACTCCAAAGCATTTTTCGTCATATGGAATAATTTGTATGACTAGTTTCTATGGAACTGTGTAAATGTTCATCCTCCTAGTAAAAATACTAAGAAGTTTCCCTGTTTTACTTGTACATTTGGGCTTTATTGGTTGCAAGTCAGAGATTTAAAGGTTGGAGGAACTATCTTGTAATAATTTAATGCTGTTCTTTTCTAATGAATTGCAGTTATTACATTCATACCTGCTGTGTGTGGTCTCTTCTTTGATTCAGCCTGTCAGTTTTTGGAGGAATCAGGATTGTTGTATGACAGTTAGGAGATTGTTCTCTACAAAGGGATGGACAGGGAGCAGAGCTTAGATTAGGCCAATTTATGGGGGACCCAGTATTTTGCATTTTGTTTGGTATTCAGAATTCTTCTTGGGGAGATGTGAGCAGAAAGAGTGGTGATGCATGTAGCAAGCAGGTCAGATATCCTCTCCAATTGAATATTAAAAGATTTAATCATGGTTTTTTATTTACAGGAATTTGTTCTGTAAGTGTTCCCTAGTACATCTCATTTGCCTTTTCAGTTTTATTCAGAATAATCTTGGGAATAATCTTTGATTATTTGAGACTACTGACAGGAAGAAGTCCTTGAAACACTTCAAAATTTTGTTTTATTTCTTTGTATACTTGTTATTATCCCTTTATTTATCAAGACTTCTTTTGAGGCTTTTTGTTAGGAATAGTTCTTTCTATCTGGATTTCTACTAGGATCATACTACTCGATCAATATAGATGAGCTTATATAGCATGTTATTGACATAATTGACCATTACATTTTACTTCCCTTTCATTACTATTTTATTCTGTTTTGCATGCAAAATAATTAAAGCTAAAAATAGGTGTTGAGGGTATAGCTCAGTGGTAGAGTGCGTGCTTAGCCTGTGTGAGGCCCTGATTTCAATCCCCACAATCAAAAATAAATAAATAAATAAATAATACAAAGGAAAACCTCAACTAAAAATAAAATGTATTTCATCTAGTAAGGTGTATCTCAGTACGGCATTTCTCTTTCAAATACTCTTAAATTAAGACACTTTAGAGCTTAACAGTCTTGTCTGTGGGCTTCCTCTCTTGCTGTTGAGCTTATTCTCCAAGGGAGATATGAGGATAGTAATTGAGCTTCTTTCATTGTAACAGGAAATATTGCCTTAAGCATCACACTCCTACAAGGTAGCCATCTGCTCTTAGTTTAAAATTTCAGGCAGGCATGTGTGTTCCAGAATAGCTGTGATTCTGGCAAATGGCCAGCTGTCTATGGAAATGTAATCAACATCTGGCACAGAAATGTAAGGAAGCCCTGCTACTGCTGTTTCTGTTCTACTTTGTTTGGATCTTCATGTGGGCTCTTGTTTCTTCAATTCTTAAGACTTTTAAAAATACACAAATGTACAAAGTAAACAAAATAATGTAATGAATCCCTCCTTTACCCATTACTCAGATTTCTAGGGTAAAAGGATAAAATAAAATTCTCTACATGTTGCTAATCTTGTGATCTTCTCTAAGCTATGGACTGAGTGTTTGCAAGACTCCTGGAAGCCCCACTTAGCTGAATAGGCTACAGCCATGTAATAAAGAGGTTGGTTGAAGGGTGTCAGTTCCTCAGACTATGATAAAAATCCCCTAAAGTCTAAACACATGTGGGGTGGCTACCCACTTTCAGTCTTGAAACTCTAAAGAGTTTTGCTTCTTTTATTTACTTGAGTTACCCAAGATCAGGTTGAATATTTCCTATTAAGGTTTCCAGTATGAAGTTTGAGAATATTAGGTTTAAGAAAAAAATCTGTGGTGTTAAGATTTAAATCTAATTTAGATATAAATCTCTTTAGATGTTTGTCATCATCTAAAGAGACAGACAGAACTGTCTTTTTCCTGGTATTTTATCAACTTCTAGTTCCACATTGACTTACCTTCATTCACCCTTTTTGTTTGGTTCTTTAAAAGTTTATCATCAGTGAATTTTGCCAGTGGACAGATTCTGTAACTGTCTGTTTTGATGGTGATATAGATGAACATCTGCAACCAAATGAAGAAACTATCACCAGTGATCTCTCTTTATCTGAAGAGATAAATGAATAAGAAACTTACTACCTTATTATTAGCATTACATACTTTTCTTTTGACTATGAGAATGTTGAGAAACTTGAAGTCCACCTCCACTGATTGTTGATTTTACACCCAACAAAGAATATATGTTCTTTTCCAACCTGCCTACAGTGATTTAGGTAAAACTTCCTAAAAATGGGAAGATAAACTTTATGACTTCAAGAAAACTTTTGAATTCTGTGATTGATGGATTCTGTGTTTTAAAAAAAATGCAGAAAATTCAAGCGGTTTCATAAAAGAGCCTTCAAAGATTATAAAGAGTTAAAAAATAGGACCAATTAGGAAAGATTAAATAAATTGAAATTACTTTGCTTGAAGAAAGAAAGATTAGGAAATGATTCAGTAGTTTTGTTATTTGAAGATAGCTATTATAGTATTCACAGGTTATCCAGGAACTTTTTTATCTTATTATCCAGGATGTGAGAGAAATAGGTATGTTTCAGTAATGAAATTTGAATTAAATACCAAGGCCTTCCAAACCATGAAACTTGTTGAACACCAATATGAATTATCCAGAAAGGCTGTGGAATCTACTTCCTTGGAGTGTGGACAAATAGCACAAATAACCCATCAAAGGGGAAACAGTCTTTTCAACAAAAAGTGCTGGTAAAACTTGATATCCACATGCAGTAAAGTTGGATTCTTACTTTACATCATATACAAAAATTAACTGGCTGGAACCAAGATCTAAATGTAAGATCTAAAATTATAAAACTCGGTGGAAAACATAAGGAAAATGCGCTGTGACATTGGATTTGGCATTGACTTCTTAGATACAACACCAAAATTATAGGAAATGAAAGAAAAAATAGATAAATTAACAAATTGAATTTAAAACTTTAACAATATTGAAAACTTCTGTATATCCAGGTACACTGTTAACTGTAAGAAGTCAACCCATCAAATGGGCAACAATATTTTGAAAGTATTAAGGGATGATATCCAGAATTTACCATTTTAACCATATTTAAGTGTACAGCTCTGTAGCATTAAGCATGTTTGCATTGTTGTACAACCATCACCACCATCTGTCTCCAGAACTTTCTCCCCCACCTGCACCTTTGTGCCCAATAAACACTACTCCATAGTCTCTCCTATTCCTAATCCTCATAATCACTGTTCTGCTTCCTATGAATTTGATATACTTCCTCTACTCAATACTTCATATAAGTGGAATCATACTATGTGTGTCCTTTGCAACTGGCTTATTTAACTTAGCACAGTTTCTGCAACACTCATCCATGTTGTTACATGTAGCACGTGTATATATATATCACATTTTATCCATGCATCTGTTGATGGACTCTTGGGTTGCTCACAACTTAGATATTGTGAATAATGCTGTTAAAAAAAATGGGTGTGTAGATATTTATTTGAGTTCCTACTTTCAGTTCTTTGGAGTATATATATACCCAGAAATAGAACTGCTGAATCATAGTAATTCTATTTTGGGGGGGGGGGGTACTAGGGAGTGAACTCAGGGGCACTCAACCACTGAGCCACATACCCAGCCCAATTTTATATTTTATTAGAGACAGGGTCTCATTGAGTTGCTTAGTGCCTCACCATTGCTAAGGCTGGCTTTGAACTTGTGATCCTCCTCCCTCAGCCTCCTGAGCCTCTGGGATTACAGGTGTGCGCCACAGCACCCTGCTGCATCATAGTAATTCTGTGTTTAATTTTTGAAGAATCATCATACCATTTTCTATAGCAGCTACACCATTTTACATTCTCACAATCTTAAGGGTTCCAATTTCTCCACAACATTTGACAATATTTTATTTTCTGTTTTTTTATAATAGCTATCCTAACAGGTGTGTTGATGTTGAGTTTTTAAAAGAGAGATCATGTTCTTGGTGATTTTTGCCAGAATACAAAAGGGACAGGGAAACCCTATCTTATAGCGTGTTTGGTTGCATTATGCATTATTAGAAATTTGCCTGATATACTGTTAGTCAGAATAATTAACTATACAGTTCTTTATATTTGGTATAGAGCAAAACGTGTTTGCTTGCTTTATCTCTGGGGTTTTTCTTGTTTGTTTTTGTACTGGGGATTGAACCCAGGGGTGCTTTACCACTGAACCACATCCCCAGCCCTTATTTATTTATTTATTTTTCTGGTGCTGGGGATTAAACCCAGGGACTTATTCATGCAAGGCAAGCACTCTACCAAGTGAGCTATATCCCCAGCCCTTTTTTATTTTCTATTTTGAGACAGGGTCTTACTAAGTTGCTGAGGTTAATCTCAAACTTGAGATCCTCCTGCTTCAGCCTCCCGAGTTGCTAGGATACAGGTATGTGCCATTGCACCCAGCTCTGGGTTATTTCCAATACTCTCATTTTTAGAAATGAGAATATTACATTATTTAAAATTACATATTTAAATTATTGTCTTTAATTCTCACAAATGTAAAATGAAATTTATGTAAGAATGTTTCTAACAACATTGTTCATAGTATTGAATGCCAAATTTAGTGTATATACACACATACACACATGGGAATACTTGAACTATGAAAAATATTATACACCTTTACTTACTGTAATGGAAAGATGTCATCATCATCACATTGTCCAGTTAGAAAGAATGTTACTGAAGAGCAGATATACTGTGATTTCCTTTATGTAAAATCCTATTTGTAAGTCTGTAGTATGTATAAATACATGGATAAAGAAATACTTGAAAAAATATTTACCAAAATGTTAATAGTGGCTATCTTTAAAGTGGTAGGATCTCCAATTACTTTTACTTTGTTCCTGGTTTTTGTGTATTTAAATTTTTTGAAGCATGTATTATTTTTCTAATAATAATAAATATTCCACCCAAAATTCATAATAAAACTATCAGGAAATAGGTGCTGTTATTTTTTTTAAAAAAATTGTTATCTGGTTTCCTGGGAAAATACATTTCAGAAAAGTATATTATGTTGAGAGAGCTGTCCCTGAATGATGGTTCATGGATAATCTAATTTTATTTGACTATCCATGGAAGGGGTTGTATGTAATCTTGCTCATCATCTTTTAGCTGTACTTTCAAAGACAAATTGTGATAAGAAAAGGCATATATCATATGTGAATATCATCTCTAAATCATTAAGTGATCTCAGCCCTTGTTTACTCCAAAAATCTAGGAATAGAAAAATTCCATTTGTCTAAATCTGATCACAGTTTTTTTCCTTGGGTTTCAGGAACCAATAAAATCACGTGCTCCACAGCTTCATTTAGAGTACAGGTTTTATAAGCAGCTCGGCAGTGCAGGTAAGTTCAAGTTTCTTTGCTTGTTCCTTCCACATAACTTAGTGGAAACCCTGACCTATGTAATTTTTTTTTTTTTTTTTTTTTTTTTTTGGTCTGGTTTACCCTTTCTATTAGACCATATGTCCCTTGCTCACCGGATAGGTAAGTAAACAGTTAACTAAAAAGTTCCTTGCTATTTGGTTCCTGGCAGGGCAGTTAAGTTAACTGGGGATTTGTGATACCATGCCCTTGCCCATTGATCAGCCTTCAAATGTTTTTCCTTGCTTCAAATATACCTGGTGTGAGATTTTGGCTTTTTTGGTAGTTCATTCATTCTTTTCATTTCTTTATGTATTCTAAGGGAAAGGAGAAAAGCTTGATAACTTGCAAGCTATATTTTAGTGCATTGAGATACTTTCTGAAATAACATAACCCTGTTATTTTTCCATTGTTCTCATTAATTTGAGAGAGCTGTCCATATGATTGTGATAACCTGTGCCTTTGGTGATTTTTGAAAATTAAGGGTTTTTTTTAAGTCTTTTTTTTTTTTAAACCTACAAGCTCTAATTTCTAAAGTGTTATTGGCTTCCAGAAAAATACTTTGACTAATCAAATGCTACCAACTCTAAATAGGCTACACCTATAGAACGTGAATTGTTCAGAACTAATTTCTTTACTTGATATTAGTAGAAATTCCTCTACTTCATGCTTACTTCAGTGTGATAGTTTTATGTGAATGATTGAAGCATAGTTTCTATTTCAAATATCACTATTGAAAGTATTATTGCGGCTGGGGTTTTAACTCAGTGGTAGAGTGCTTTCCTAGCACATGTGAGACACTGGGTTGGCTCTCAGCACCACATAAAAATAAATAAAAATAAAGGTATTGTGTTCATGTACAACTTAAAATTTTTTTAAAAAAAAAAAAGAAAGTATAATTGAAGTATTGAAGGAATTTTATTTATTTATTTATTTATTTATTTATTTTCAGTTGTTGTTGATGGACCTTTATTTTATTCATTTATATGTGGTGCTGAGCATCAAACTCGGTGCCTCACATATGTGAGGCAAGTGCTCTACCATTGAGCCACAACCCCAGCCCAGGAATTTTATTTTCATTTTCTAAAATATAAAATTATATAAGAACCTTTGGTTTTGTTTGTTTTTTTGTTTACACCAAATAAGTTATTATTTCCTTCTATCTGTTGATTGAGCTGTCATCTTTATTGCTGTTTTTAGATTAAAGTATGGCTTTTTTTTTTTTTTTTTAATATCCCTGTAAGGTCTGATACTATTTCTCAGTCTGACAGTTCTAATAGTTATCAAAAGCTGAACCCTTGGATTTTATTCAAGTCTTGTAACCTGACCCTGGCAGTAATCAGCTATAGTCATAACCTCGGAAGGCCATGAGATATTTGTCTTTCATTGAATTTAATTTAAGTTCCTGTTCACAGTAGCCTCTTGACATATATTTGTTGATTGACCATATCTTTAAACATGTAATGTTCCTGGCATAAGATCCGAGACTGGCAAATAAGTTTAAAGGATAACTTGAGGCTTATGTTTCCTCAGAACTAAATTTTAATTGTTGTTCCCCTTATATTCTGTCTGGTATCATATTTTTCTGAGTTTCATAAATTTCAGAGTGATAATTACCACAGCCCACTTAAGATAATCACAGCCCATTTAAGATAACATATACATGTCTCACAAATCTAAGACACAGGTTAAAGTTATGCTTAATCCATTCCATTTTAGAATTTTTGCTGGGCCTGGGGGAATTTACCAGGCCAGTTTACAGAATTTCCTCTGTAAATCCTTCTAGATATAACCACAAGATCAGGGCAGGCTTCCCTTTTCAATGTAGAGCCAAATAGCCATGTGCCTGGAGTCCCAGTAACTCAGGAATTTGAGGTGGGAAATCACTTGAGCCCAGAAGTGTCATCTCAAAAAGCAAAAGAGGGCTTGGGGCTCAGCGGTAGAGTGCTTGCCTAGCATGTGCAAGGGCCTGGATTCAGTCCCCAGCACTGCATAAAGCTGAGGAGGTGGAGAGTTGGCAAAAAAATCTCATTAACTTGTTATGTAGGAATAGAATCTGTATTGCTGGGTTCATAATCTCTAAATATTGATCACTGCAGAGTCTTGAATTTTCAGCATTCTCTGTGCACTGAAAACAAGGAGTAGATAGACCATTGGAGGCTCTTCTTCTTCTTCTTATCCTCCTCCTCCTCCTTCTTTGTGAAAGGAGTACGATTTATTTAAGAGAGGCAAAGCTCCAGCTTTAAGAGACAAAGCTCCAGCAAGGGGAGAAGACATCTAACAGGGGTTTCCCTGGAGGCTTCTCTTAAGTGAGTTTCATACAACACCTAAGTAACTGGATAATGTAGACACAGTGGGTTACTGGCCTACATTAGCTTATTACAGCTATTTCACATAGTTGACTGAACGCTTTTATGGAGTTGTATTAAGCTGAAACCTGTAAAACTTTTTTATTTAAGCTGCCATCAATCAAGGCTTTTTGTATTTTGTAGTTATTGAATTCATTCTGAGCACTTCAAATATAATTTTATTTTAACCCATTATTACTAAATATTGGAAATATGTTTTTCAATTCTGATTGTTTTAGCCTATTGGTGATTATATATTGATCATTTTTAAATTGTAACTGCATATTTCCTCCCCCCAATAAGATTATAGTCTCCTGGATAACAAGGCTTACAGCTTCTTAACTTTTATATCTCAGAGCCTAGTCAGCAGTAAGCAGTTCAGTGGCAGTAAGAAGTTAGGAAGATTTAATAAGCTTGCCGTTTTAGATTGTTACCAAATTATTAATAAAAATATTCCTTGAGGATGGCCATAAAAAATGTGGGGTGGGCGCTGGGGCTATAGTTCAGTGGTAGAATACTTCCCTTGCTTGTGTGAGGCACTGGGTTTGATCCTTAGCACCACAAAAAAATAAATGAATAAGCCTCTTCAACAAACGGTGCTAGGAAAACTGGAAATTCATATGTAGCAAAATGAAATTAAACTCTATTTCTCACCATGCACAAAACTCAAAGTAGATCAAGGACCTTGGAATTAGACCAGAAACCCTGCACCTAATAGAATAAAAAGTAGGCCCAAATCCTCATCATGTCAGATTAGGCCTGGACTTCCTTAACGAGAGTTGTAAAGCGCAAGAAATAAAATCAAGAATCAATAAATGGGATGGATTCAAACTAAAAAAGTAGCTTCTCAGTAAAAGAAATAATCAGTGAGGTGAATAGAGAGCCTACAGAATGGGAGCAAAATTTTAACACAGGCACATCAGATGGAGCACTAATCTCTAGGATATATAAAGAACCCAAAAATCTTAACACCAAAAAAACAAATAACCCAGTCAATAAATGGGCCAGGGAACTGAACAGACACTTCTCAAAAGATGATATACAATAATCAACAAATATATGAAACAATATTCAATATCTCTAGCAATCACAGAAATGCAAATCATAACTACTCGCCTGGTATGCGCCGGGCGCTGGGTTCGATCCTCAGTACCACATAAAAATAAAATAAAGATGTTGTGGCACCGAAAACTAAAAAATAAATATTAAAAAAATACAAACAACAGTAAGTGTTGGTGAGGATGTGCGGGGAAACGCACACTAATACACTGCTGGTGGGATTGCAAATTGGTGCAACCAGTCTGGAAAGCAATATGGAGATTCCTTGGAACACTTGGAATGGAACCACCATTTGACCCAGTTCCACTCCTTGGTTTATACCAAAAAGACTTAAAAACAGCATTCTATAGTGATACAGCCACATCAATGTTTACAGCAGCACAATTCACAGTAGCTAAATTGCGGAACCAACTAGATAGATACCCTTCAGTAAATGACTGGATAAAGAAACTGTGGTTTATATACACAATGGATTATTACTCAGCATTAAAAGAAAATAAAACCATGGCATTTGCAGGTAAATGCATGGAGTTGGAGAATATTATGCTAAGTAAGCCAATCCCAAAAAATCAAATGCCAAATGTTTTCTCTGATATGTGGATGCTAATTCCCAAAAAGGTATGGGGGGGTTGGGAGACTGGTAGGGAAAAATAGAGGTACTTTGGATTAGACATAGGGGAGTGAAGGGAGGGAAGGGAGTATGGGGATAGGAAGGGTACTAGAATGAATCAGATATTATTATCTTATGTGCATATGTAACTACACGACCTATGTGATTCTACATCATGTACAACCAGAAGAATGAGAAGTTATACTCCATTTATGTATGATGTATCAAAATGCATTCTACTGTCATGTATAACTAACTAGAACAACAAAAAAGGAATTATTCCAAATGATTCTAGAACAAACAAAAATTTTCAAAGAAATATCGGAAGACAAATTTTTGCAAAATAATATAGCATGGTACTTTTTGCATACTGCAAGAAATATATATACTATAGATATGTCCATAGAAGCATAGAAAGTATTTGAATGGATATTTAAAAGAAATTATTTTAATTAAGAACATGAATAAGAATGGGAGGCATTCCAGGAATGGTGGCATATGTCTTTAATCCTGGTGACTCTGATGGCTGAGGTAGGAGGATGAAGTCTGAGGCTAGCCTGGACAACTTAGCAAGACCCACTGCATCTTTGCATGTTTCAAACTAAAAATTTAAAAAGGACCAGGGATGTGCCTCAGTGGTAGAGCACACTCTGGCTTCAATCTCCAGTATGATAAAGAAAATTAATGGGAAGTGGTGGTGCTTTTAAGATTTTACTTTAATCTTGTAGTATTTTTTTCATTTTTTTACCCTGTGCAGTTATAACAGTAACTAGTTTTTAAATGAGTGTACCAGTGAGTTTATTCTCTGTCTCCTGTGTCTTCTATCATTATAGCCTAGCTGTAAGAAAGCCCAAGCAACCTCCTCCTGCCCATTTATCCTGAGCCATGCATTAACAGTTTCAGGCATGAGTTCAACATATGATAATAAAGTGGTACAATACCATGTTTATCTTTCTAAACACTTT